GCTGGTTTTGGAGCAGGTCCTAAACCTGCATCAAAGTATTAAAGTGCGCTTTTGGTCTACCCTCAAGAGGCGGGGGTTTAGAACAACCCTCATCTCGGCTTCGTGAGGCTCCTGGATTGCTTGGCCAGAGGGGTGGGGCTTCTGTGGGTGACAGACTTGCGCTTGAACATCGCATCTCGAATGCTCCGTCTCTGACATAAAACCCTTCCGACAAGTGGCTCGCGTGGCGAACCAATCTCTGACCTGGCTCACAAGTTCTTCGAAGATTTGGTGATATCTTGGGGAAACCACTCGGGCTTCAGGTGCGTCAGGGCTTAGGTTTGGGCTTCAGGTAGTGTCTACTTGGAATACCACTTTGGAGGTCTTTACATCACGACCTTCACCATCGACGCTGCGCCTGACCTAAGTAGCTGAGGCTTCGTCAGGACGGAGCCCGAAGGCAAGGCTTCGACCAAATCGCACTTCAGAGTTTACAGCAAAAGCAGGGTTTTGCAAGCCCGCTGCAAGAAGTTGAGAACCAGGGCCGAGAGTTCCCGAGCATCTTGTGACCAATATTTATTCTGAAAGGGCGACGCCCAAATTCAGAGAGGCGCAGAACCTCGACCGAATCAAACCTTTCTGAAACAAGGCACCGAGCCCCGATGACTCCGGCACGCCAACATCTCCCCAGTTATGCAGCCCTGTGGAGTAATACGCAACATAGGGGGTTGCTGAATTCCGGCATCTTGCACAAGGCGCCTCCTCGAAAGAGTCCTCGCCACAGCACACAAGGAAGGGCCGCGATCTGGCCGGGAGCCTGGGTGTATCCGGGTGTTTGGGGACTTGAGGGCTTCGGTTTGAGATGTGAGGTTCAGATCTCAAAAGGAATGTCCACGGTTTGGAGCCTTCAAGGGTTAGGATTGCCATAGTAACCTGCGAAACATCGACACCTGCTCCACCCTGCGCCCAACTTCTGTCCCTACTTCCTCCGTTTCCGATCCTCAGCCACGGACCCATATGCGCAAAACACAACACTCCCTGAACGAAACTTTGACCTGACATGGCACAAAACATATGACAAGATGACACCACACAGCACAATATGATACAGTATAGTCCTATATGATATGCCAAACTGAAATGCTTAAATAGTGTTTGTTTATCAAGCATCTTCCGGCGAGGCACTCGAAGCCGCGGCTGGCCATCTCGGCCCAGGGCACGTTGTACGCCCCCAGGAGGTGGCCTGACCGGCTCACCCCTACGCAACCGGGCACTCGCACCAGTAGTCGGAGGAGGATTCGGAAGGGTACAACAGCCCGCTTCTTTACATCGCAAACGATCCTCAAGTCCGCACAGAGCGGGATTGCCTTGCCATTCTTATGATGACGGCAGAAGGCACTCCTTTGATAAGTGCCAGTCAAAACCTCACAGCTAACTGCTAACTAAACATCACATGTGCAAGCATGGTTGTGCTGCCCGGTGCTTACACACAATAGCGACAGCACATGCTGTCCAGCCACGTTGCGTGGCGGCACATTTACCAAAACTTGTAGCACTCAAGCGCCAGCACGTGCAGCTCCGTGACACTGCTTGGAAGAGGGGCCTGAAGTGCTCACCATGTTGGACTAAAGACTCTTCTCAACCTCGTCTTTCAGCAATGCTTGGGCCGTGTCTAGTAGTTGTTCAACCGTCTTCCTTGAACGTGCTGAGAGCGTGTTCTCAAACTCCAAGCGTCGGATGCTCTCCGCCAGGAGGCTACGCAGATCCGGCCCAAAGTCCGATCCCTCCTTTGCTGGTGCGGGTCCGCTGTCAGCCTCTCCCCGCAAATCGCTAGCGACCTCTGTGGATGAGGTAGCCTCCGAATGGCCAAACAAGGGCCATTTGCATGGAGCTTCCGATGCCGGGAGCGTGGCCGACGAGCCATAGGAGATCGGAACTCCAAGCCAACTCTGCACTTGCCTGACACCTCTCAGTACCTCCACGGTTGACACCTCCAAGTCGGCACTCCTCTCGAGCAATTTGACGGCTTCGAGAACCGAATCCCAGGCCTGGTCCCTGTCCATGCCAGCCTTGGACATAAGATCTTCCGTGGTAACAATATCCTCACTCGCCTCAAGCTCTGCAAAGAAGGACTTCTTGCTTCTGAACGCTCTTTGCCCTGTGCTCTTCGACTGTTTGACTTTGTCTGTTGCATCCGCCTTTTCCTCCAGGTAGGTGATGTACAAGTCTTTAGCTTTGGAGAGGCTAATGCGGCTACCTCTCCTGGTATGATACCATCTCTTGAAGAAATCGATGATGTCAATCCAAACAGGGTCGCTGAAATGTGTATTCTTCTTTGTCTCGCTGTACACGTCCATGATGATGGCAATCAGCATGTTCAGAAGAATCAAGAGCATGCAAAGCATGAAGGATATGTGAAACACCCCAGCAATTGCTCTGCCCACCTTGTTCTCCAAGGCTTCGAAATCTGCATCTCCCATCAATGATCGAAATTGCGTAGTGAAGGCAACTCCAAAACTTGCATAGCCTTCCACCGTGCGCCCAAAGAAGCCCATTCCCATGAAGACGTAGGTAAGGAACACGGAGAGGAAGATGATGCCGAAGTGCACCAAGTCCGCAAACGACATCCACAGGGTTCTTGTGACGACAGCTAGACGCGGCTGCAGCGAGAAGGTCTTGAAGAGCCGCAACAGAATGCAGAAGGGATAGAAACTGGCAACAAGACTGGTACCGGAGGAGATTTCGCCCATGCGGGTGGCATCCACCATCAGCATGTCCATCATGGCGTCGCAGTTGCCCTGGTCTTTTGTGTCACAGACTTCGACTGCATCGCCCAACAGGCTTTTCACGTCCGCGAGCATGGTACATCGGTAAATCCACAAGCCTAGAATGATGTAAGCGATGACGATCGAGCACCAGTCTACAGCGTTCCAGATCGTGAGGTATTCCATAAAGCATTGGCGAGGGCGGAAACGGCATTTTCCGTCAGTGCCTCTGATACAGAGGCCCTGGAAGATCTCCACGAGCTCTTCGAGGAAGATGGAGGTGATGACCCCAAAGAACAGGATCTCCCAGACGAGACCCGCACCGGGGTGGTCGTAAGGAGACATGAAGAAGCTCATAAATGACATCTCTTTCCAAATCCGCCCAGATCGGGATAAGATAAAGTGGATGTTGGTCACCGTGAGGATGTCGAACTCCGCATTGTACGTGACGAAGGACAGCTTCCAGCGTCGTGTACTCCGTGTGATCCAGCCTGTCATCTCTAGGTCATCGACTGTCGGGTTCACGTCCTGCGCAAGCGGAAGCCACACGGTACCGTTCTCGGAGGGATCCTCTGTGAATGGTGTGAAGGCTACATCAAACTCTCGTGGCTGGATCACGAAGTCCGTACCTTTCTCGAAACAGGGGCGTCCAAGTCGGCTTGCTTCCTTGTTCTGACATTCGTCAACTTGCGCCGCTTCCTTTGTCAGTTTTACGGGGCCCAGCTTGCGATTAAAATCCAAGTAAGGCAGATGCAGCTTCTGCGAGCTAGTCATCGCTGTGCTCGTCAGATCGGAACCTTCAGAAACCGGTGTGGACTGGGGCAAGTAGATGGCAGCGAAGCCCAAGCGAAGCCACGAGTAGAAGTCCGTGATGCTGTTCACATCTTGATAGTTCTTGTGCCCCATGGTCCCGATGCCGTTGAAAGCAAAGTTTGCATTTTCTTCGATATCGAAACGAATGGCCTTCTCAACGCTTTGCGTCTCTCCCACGGTCTCGTGGTTCAAGAGCATGGCAGCGAAGCAGAAAATGAGAGTCAGTGTTCGCGGGAGGGTTTTCACAGCACGGTCACAATTCACCTCCTTCTCCCAGTAGCGGAAGAGCTCCTTCACCGGAACGCCACATTTTTCTGCAACTGCCTCTGGTCGAAGCGCTGCAATCTCTTCGCCAGGCTTCACGCACACCCAGTAGTACACAGAGTGTCTGTGCTGACCACTTGTCATGACAGGCGATGAGTCTACTCGGAGCCACAAAGCTGCCGCAGCAAAGGAGAGTCTATGTCGCAATGAGGTACGCCACTTCATTGCAGCGCAGTGCCAAACAATAGCAGTTGTAGCAGTTGTAGCAGTGTAGCAGTGTAGCAGTGTAGCAGTTGTAGCAGTTGTAGCAGTGTGGCAGTGTAGCAGTTGGCAGTTGTAGCAGTGTAATTAGCAGTGTAGCAGTGTAGCAGTTGTAGCAGTGTAGCAGTTGTAGCAGTTGTGGCAGTGTAGCAGTGTAGCAGTGTAGCAGTGTAGCAGCTGTAGCAGTGTAGCAATGTAGCAGTTGTGGCAGTTGTAGCAGTTGTAGCAGTGTAGCAGTGTTGCAGTGTAGCAGCAGTTGTAGCAGTGTAGAGTGTAGCAGTTGTGGCAGTGTAGCAGTGTAGCAGTGTGGCAGTTGTAGCAGTTGTAGCAGTGTAGCTGTGTAGCAGTGTAGCAGTTGTAGCAGTTGTAGCAGTTGTAGCAGTGTAGCAGTGTAGCAGTGTAGCAGTAGCAGTGGAAGCGGCAAGGGCAGCTGCGGCGGCAGCCGCACTGACAGTAGCAAGCAGCAGCAGAAGGATCAGCAGCAGTAGCAGCAACGACAGCAGTAGCAATAGCAGTATGATACCTGTGGCCGGGTCTGCAGCATACCCGAGCAACATCTTGCCAGGCAGCTGCTTGGCTAGACAAAGCCTACTTCCGAATCCTTAACCGGAAACCTCAGCCCGTCACGATGCCCTCACAAGCGTGTCTCAGGCCTTGGAGAAACTCTGTCTCCTCACGGACATCGAGGATCCTTGGACACGGCGGAGCTTCCCTGTACTGCCTGCGCGCTTTTGCAGCCTATCATCAACCCGAAGCTACCCCGTAATGTCGGGCCCCTGGGCCCATGGTACTTTGGTACAACACCAAGCGTCAGATCTCCTGGTGCAGCGGCAGCCATGGCTCAAGGAATCGGGGCTTCGGACCCCGAAGCTTGGGGTCCTGGGCCACTTTGTTATTCAAATGACGTGGGAAGCATAGGAATCTCGTGAGGCTGTGACTAGAACACTTCGGAAAAGATCACCTTCCGTCTTTAGCCGAGGAACCAGGCCCTGTGCCACACGGAAATCTGGAGACAAGTGAGCTGCGTGATACTGCAACCAGGCTTCAGTCGAGCTCAGAGCTCTTCCCACCCCCAGTCCCTTCCTCCCAGATCTCTCAACGACGCCCATCAACTCAATCCGCACCCTCAACATCCACGAGCCAGAGATCGCCTCACTTGAACCCCGAGACCCCTGAGCACAAACCCCAAAAATCCCCTAAAACCCCTGATGTTGATGGAACACTCCCAGCCTAGGCGTTTGTCGTGCTGTCTCATCAGCTCCTGGGTCAAAGAGCGGACATAAACCAAGAACCTCCAATGACCACTGGCCCCTCAATTAAGTCCTCATCTACGAGTAGCACTGGAGAATCCGCCCAGTCGAGCTTTGCGACTCTTGTGTTCAGACTTCCACCGTGTGTGCCGGTGTTGCGGATGTGGCCAGTGCTTTTGTCACCTGGCATACCGCCGGTATACCACGTGCTAGCATAAATTGCGTTACTACTTCGTGTTAAACCACTATACTCCAGAACTTGACAATGTCAACCTTTGGTTCGATGCCTTCTTCAATGGACGTCTGCTGTCACGAGGGGTCCTTCACATAGTAAAGAACACTCTGTCTGCGAACTTACCTTACCTATTCCATTCTGTTCTACTCTACTCTGACGCAGTACATAATGTTGTATGAAAGTAAATATCTACATACGTACATCTATGTGTGTCACCCCCTCCCCCCCCACGTGTCGTGACCGAGTGAGTCCTTGAGAGCAGGTCGCCGGTTGGCGTGGCCGGGAGGCTGATGCCCAGTGTTCCTCGGCTGAGGTGACCTCATGGGCCTTCTCGGGATCTGGGCCAGAAGTGCTGCTAGAAAAAAGGCTCGAGCACAAAAGTCTTGGACTTCTGCTTGTCGCAAGGCCAGACACGTTGTCATAGTTGGCTCAGGGTTTCCAAGCCAACGCAGCTGAAGCTGCAAAATTTACAAGCAGAAGCTTTTCAGATAGCTAGCACGTGTGACACACGGAACTTGTCCAAATTCTCGTTGAACGAGCATTCCATGGAGGCTGAGGGCTTCGGGCGATGAAGGTGCAGCACCATGGAGACCCTCTCGGGCAGTCACTCCCTAGCGAAGGGATCCACAAGTGGCGCGAACTCGTCAGGGAGAGGCCTCGGATCCCAACTCCGAGGAGGGTCTTCGCATTAGACCGTCAGTTGTGACGATGGTGTTGGTGCGGAGATCAATCTGAGTATGAGGACGAAGAAAATGCTGTTGATGCAGGTGGCAGGAAACAATAAAAGCCGCCTAGAAAGTACTGGAATGCTGATCGCCATGACGGTGACGATGATGGTGATGATGATGGCGACATTGATGATGACGATGATGATGATGATAATGATGATGATGGAGACATTATTGATGATGATGATGATGACGATGACGAGGGAAATGGCAATGGAAACGATGATGGAAATGATGATGGAAATGGCTGTGTTTCTGTGATGGTGATGGCGCTGGTGATGATGATGACAATGACGATGACGATGACGATGAAGATGAGGATGTCGATGGGGCTGGTAGGTGCGGGTGCTGGTGCTGGTGCTGGTGATGGAAATAGTAGTAGTGCTCTGATGGAGATGAAGAGCGTCATGGTGATGATGACGATGACGACGATGAGGGAGGGGGAGGAGGAGGAGGAGGAGCAAGAGGAGGAGCAGGAAGAGCTGAAGGAGGAGGAGGAGGAGGGTGATATTGTGGACGTGAGATTAATAAATCTCGAGGATGACAGAGGTGTTGATGAAGGAGACGAGAGTCCCTAGCATGGTTCCCATGTCCAGGAAGGCCATGTTACTTCTGGTCATGAGCGTGCTAGGATTGATGACGAGGAAACCACGAAAATACACGAGGATGTGACAAGGGCGATAATGGTTGTGATGTTGCTGGTGTGAATGGTGCGCATGCTGAATATGATGAGGGTGATTATGGTGAGAGTGGTGAAGATGATAAGAAGAAGATGTCGAGCAGGAGGAGGAGGAGGTTCGCGATGATGAAGAAAATGATGGCGTTCGCCATAAACATGTAGCAGATGCAGCTGCAGTTTCGTTTGACCGTGAAGAAGGCAGTGACTGTTTCGAGCTATCACCGTCATCACCAACGCTACCGCAACATACCCGGAGCTACCGCCATGTTCACGGTCGGAAAGATCAAATTAATGCACAACAGCTGCTCCATCATCATCATCAGTATCAGCATCATCATCATTCTGGTGGTTTTGGCGTTTGAAGGCTTGCCTCGTCAGCATCTGCATCGTCATCATGTTATGATCCTTCCTTTCTGCTCTTGCGCGTGCTGCCGGCACAAATCCTCTGAGGCCGGTGCCCCCCTCCCAATCCACCATAGAGTGGGGAGAGCCGCCGGGCAAAGGCCTTCAAGGAGTGCACGGAAGCAACATGGGAATCATTCTGAATCTTTCCGTGCAAACGACTACCGGCAAACATGATAATTAAATTACTAGATCTAGGTCTACCGACCTGTTGACACTCCTGCTACCAAAAGAGAGCCATCATTACAACCGGACCCGAAAGCAACCGTATGAATGGCAACGCGTTCCTACGACGCATGCCTCCAGTACTTGAAAGCAAAGCCGACGGAAGCTACAGGGAGGGAATGCGAGCAGATGTTGGCAAGCGAATGTGAATGATGCAGTGCTCCCTGGATGCTGTGCTGCGAACTGGTTCATAAACCTCAGCCTACGCTGAACCGCACATGGCAAGGCTCGCTCACCAATGCAGGAAACAATAACAGCTCTGAAACGGTTGTTTACCGTCCTGCAAACTCGTCGATGCTTGTGCTTGTTCATAACGAGTCGGTAAAGCAGCCTGCGGTGAACTTCAAACAGTCTTGGGCAATGCTGCTGCCTTCAGTTGTGCAGCCTGCTGCGGCTATGTTGCCGAATTACCGTAGCTCTCCTGTCTGCGGTACTGACCCCTCGAGGGCGGCGAGAGGGGAGGGCCTCGGCCTTCCCCTGTATCGGGAGCTAGGGCTTGGGGGCCCCGTGAAGTCTCGTTTGACCCAAACCAAATCTAAGAACTCCGGCAGGCTCCAGAGGAGCTAACTTTCGTCAATGAGTCATTCCTACAAACAAGAAGGAAAGCGGCAGGCCCGGGGCTCAGGCCGCCTATGTGTTTGAGTGTGGTTATGCATACGCAAAACAGCTTCATGAAAGAAACATGCGGTGTGCTCTGTTCTGTAATGTCCTTCCTCTTCTGCGGTCAGGTTTGACTGTCTTGATCTTGTTCAGAAACTGACGGCCGGGTTTGCTGGGGCTAGCCATGGGCCGTGTCCCATCCCTCGGCGGCAGATAAGGCCAAGAATCTCATACAATGCTTTGTCGCTAGTGAAGACGGCTGAAACTGACCGACACTCATGAGGGGGGGATGGTTCATGACCTTGCCGGAAGGAGGGCTGGCAAGCGCCCTGCCAACCATGTATAGTCAGGTGGCCGTCAAACTTAGATACAATACACACGATGGTCATACAGAGAAACATCATGAATCAATAACGAAGACTTGATGAACCCACAGAGAGCTGCTCTCCTATAGCATCAAAAGCCCACGACGAAAAGTCCACCGACTGTGGATAAGACAGGGAACAGCTCGCGTGGGTCGACAGCTCCGCTGAAGTAACAAAAAAAAGGCGCCTCGAAACATACCAGCAATGAATCTGTACAGACACAGAGAAATGAAAGGCGAAATCATGAATGTGGCTACACATGCAGGCGTTCGGCTTAGCAAAGAAACATATGAGTTTGCGTGTGGATGTGTGTATGTGTGTGTTCACTTGTGGGCGCGTCTCCATCTTGGCTTCCCGCGACGCATCCCAACTCAAACTCTCTCCTGAGTCTACGTTACAACAATCCTCAGGTTGCCCAGTCTGAAAACAAACAATTCATTGACGTCAAACCGGCCTGCGTATCGCGACTTCCCGAAAAAGTTGCGTTCCAGCCTGTGCTTCAGAGCAGACAGCCGCTACTTGCAAACTTGCTGCTTGGTGTTTGGCCTCAGGTCACTTGTAGTAGAGATGCTTTCTTCAAGAGCCAGACCTATTCTACGGCTACAACTGGGCTCGGGTTGTTTCTTTTGCTGTGCCTACTGACATTCCTGTGCGGCTCGCTGTACCACTCTTGCTTCTGGCCTGATGCGTTTACTCTCCTGGTACTCAGTCTAGCACATCCTGCTCCTCCTACTAGTCTCGTGACCATCATGGTGATGGCGATAAAGCGAACAACTTCAAGCTGTGTCGTCATCGCCATTGTTGTCAATGCCGCCGGCGTTTGTTTTCGTTCTGTCCTATTGATACTATTAAAAGCTGAGCATGGCCCTCACGCTGTCCTACACCTGCAGACATGGTGACAGCAACAATATTGCCATATAGTTGACCCTACTACTACCAACGGCAGCAGCAAGAATAATCGCAATGCTACAGACCATGTTCGGAAGAGTGATCGCTGATAGCATATCAACAGCAGTGGACATACTAGCGGCGGCAGTACCAGAAGACTACGACAACAGCGGCAGCCTGCCAAAAATAACAGGGATTGATGCAAATCATAGCGACGATAAACGACATAGGAAGGTTTAGGCCACTAGCAGGTTAAAGCCCTTGTTCCCGGAACACACTTCATGTCAAACGAACGGACCACATAAACCGACAACTCACGCTTACGGAACGACAATCATACATACATGCATACATACCTATATACACACGGCTATATTGCAGCGTTTGGATCCTGTAGCATGTTCACATCCCTACTTGACCAAACCCTACAAACACATGTAAACACTAAACCCTAAACCCCTACACGCTAAATCCTAAACCATCCTAAACCCCAAACCCAGAACAAGCGGGCAGCAACGGGAGCAGATTACTATCGGCAGCCATACACTCCCAGCAGTAACCCATAAGGGTTGTACTCACATAGTTTATACTTTGGCCTCATATAACTATGGCCCATGTGTGTACTTCATGGGCACATGGACCTTTGGGGAATAGTAATGGCACTACGAACCCTTCCCCAAACCCTAAGGCGTGAACCTAAACTGACCTAAACCATCAACCCTAAACCCTAAGCCCTAAACCCGCCCTACACCCTAGGCAGGCATTTGTGTTCATACTAAAAGTTACTAGTGTATTCGTATGTCCATAAATATACATACAGCACGTATCTACATACAGTATAAAGAAAAAACACATACACACACACACACTCATAATATAGAGATATAGGAGACCTCCTCTCGCTCCCTCAACTGGGAAGCCCAACTGGAGAGCGCTGGGCAGCACTGCGACAGGAGACCCTCGGAACCCTCTCGCCGTGGTTCCTTCACATGACGTCTGGCAATTCGGTGCTAAGGCTTTCGGTGCTAATTAGGCCTGAGTTTCCTAAGACTGAGCAGAAGAAGCTTGGAGGGAAAGCATAGATGCAAAAAGGGTAGAGTACAGTGTCGCCCGTCTGACACAGCGCCTACCTGACAAACTAGCCCGCTGATGGGTTGTCCTCATGCGTCTCTTGAAAGATCTTTCCACGGCTCCAACCCCTGTTGTTACCAGCTGTTGTTGCTATGCTGAATCGATAAATTGTCAGATCAGTCCGTTCTGGGTCAAGCAGTGGCAGCCTTGGCTGCTTTCTGACTCTTCTCGACGTGCTGCCCAAGACCGTATATGAGGCAAGTCACACCCATTCCTCAACGCTGACATGCCTCGTCAACCTCCGCAGATATCGCGGAAGCGGGTCGAATTTCCGCATAGAAGCCGAAGCCGTATTTTAGCCTTCCAACAAGAGAGCTCCCCCCTCTGCTCTCTTGGCGAAGGGCTCGTGGAAACACTTCACATTCTCGGTGGATTTGCGAGTTCACACAACTGGCTTCCGGATTTAATGCTCAGGGTTCCAGTGCCTTGAGGTCGATGGTTTGGATCTTGAAGCACATCAGGTGGTAAAGGTTTGAGAGTTTTGAAGCAAGTTTGGTAGTTCTTTTTCCGAAAGTCAACTCTGCCTGCGTTTTTCCTCAGAAGAGGATCCAAAGGGCAAAGCCCGGTCGTGAAATCCGATTCCTACGTCCTGCTTCTTACACTTCGTCTGCGGGCTTGCTTCGGGCTGCTTCTTATAGGGCGTCTGGGCCTCTAGGCCTTGGCGACTGTGGCTACATCTGACCTCGGAAGAACTTCCTTTTCGCCAGCCCACATTCGGCAGATCTCGATCTTCAGTCTTCCACATGTGCATGAGCACAGCCTCACAAGCTGGCACGTGGTGGGCTCTTCTCCCAGGCCTCCCCTAAGAAAGTATTGCACAAGCTACATTCTCTAGACCACGGAGGGCTTATGGGGAAGGGCCGGAGAGGAAACTCAGTGCTCGAAGCTCGAGGTGCCACCTGTAGGCACACACCGACCTCCTCGCCCCAACTCACTCGGCACGCACAGCAGAATCATCCCGTCTGCTATCTCCTGCCCATAGCGGCCATAACGGTTCAAGCCCCGTGATCGCACATTAACTATGCCTGCGAAGACGTCTAGTGTCATCTAACAACATCGTACTACCGATGATGCCTTCTCGGCTCGACATGCATGGATGATTTCATGTCCTCGCCGCCGAAGAGAAGTAGCCGCTAAGTAAGTCAGCTTGCCCAGCTTGCAGTCGCTTGCGTCAAGGGTCGCCAGCACGGCTGAGAAGGAAAACCGCATCGTCCAACGAGTACACGTTGGCTGCCCTTGGAGAAACACATTGTGCTTCTGGCGTAGCATATCTACTTCGAGGAGACGCAAACTCTACAGTCGACGGCCCTGGCTAGCCCCCACACGTGTCTGTGAATTTCACTGGCTTCGGCGAAGCTTACAGCATTCATTCAATTGCGAAGACGAAGCGTCTTCATTCAGAACACAAAGAAGGCAGCTTTCCTGCACGGAACACAATATAATTACTTAACCCGAGAAGCGTCTTCCACTCCCAAAACTTCACATCCTAACTGGCCCTGCGCTCCATGCAGCTGTTGAAAGGCATTCTGGACAATAACGAAATCGGCAGGTTACCCTTGTAATGCATAGAACCCCAAGCCCCAAAGCAAAAAAAAAATCATGAGCACAGAGGCAGATCCCCCTCGCAAAGGTAGGGCACGCGTGTGAAGGCCTCAATCAGGATTTCTAGCTTCGGGTCGGACAACTTCTGTGAGTCTTCGAGAGAGTCTTCGAGAAGACATGATGTCATGTCCGGCTTGTTGCCTGATCTGCAAACGAGGATTTAGTTTCTTCGGGCGCTTGTCTCCTAGTCCTTGAGGTTCGAAGCAGTACATGGGGACAACAGATGTCAGGCTGATACAATCTAGAGGGCCTGAAGTCCAGCATGATAGCGTGATGGACACCTGAACGACCATCCTGCATGCCAGATGCAGTCTCCCTCTAGTCACTAGCACGTCTGTGGACATGTTATGTCTGTGCACGCAGGTCACAATGAGCTATCTTTGTCGTTGTGTGTGCTGAAACTTTCACCCGGGTAGCACGTGGCTCTCAAGGCTAAGCGACTTCAGGGTGCGGGAGCCGATCTGCCTCGAGGTGGAAGCCCAGGGGCGCGAGCACCTGGTGGCTTTGACATCAGCTCGGGTTCACTTGCACTAGGATCCCGCTCACAACCCTTAAGGCTCCGTCGGTTTCAAGGAAGAGGAACCGATTTGCTTCAGCCTTCTCGATGCCGGGCGGGGACCAGACAACCACGGGTGTCAAGCTTGAATGGACATAATGGCCAGCACGCAAGGCTTCAAGTCGAATTTAAACCGCAGCCTTAGGGCCTTGGGACTAAAAATACATCGGAACATAGCTTAATGTCCAAAGCGACGCAGGTAGCGGGATAGCTTGGATTCAACTCAGGTTGAAACCATCAGCCGTGTCCTAGGCTCCGCTGCTCCAGGTAAAGACCTGCACCCTCTCGCACCTTTCGGAGAAAACGGGGGCCTTGGAAAGAATCCGAAACCCAATACCCTCCTGGGAGATGAAGCAATGCAAACCCAAACCTGAAGTAGGAGATGATGCATGGCAAACCCAAAACCCCAACTTCAGTAAACCCCAAAAAAAACTCAACACCTAGGCGATGATGGATGGCAAACCCAAAGCCGTACTCCAGATAATACATGGCAACCCAAAACTCGAGCAAGATGCAAACCAAATCCGCAAGTGACAATTTTCCCCAAAAACAAGCCTGATAGGAGATGGTGGAAATGATGGCAGGCCACAAAGCCTAGTAGGAGATGATGCGCGAGGCAAGCCCAAAACCCTAAAAGATGTGACTGCTTTCAAAGTGCTTCGAGCTTCAGAAAGTGACAGCGGATGACCCAACCTAACCCTTAAAAGGAAACATCGCCACAATTCCAAACTCCGCTTTGGGATCTCCTGCCTTGCTCCAAAGCTCCTCCGCAGCAGACTCGAACGTCGCATCTCCTTGGCAGCTTGACGTGAGTCAGGTTTCAAGGGGGGGGCCACCTTGATTATGTTAAGATTCATAGCCTGCTTTCTGTACCTTCCATACCAAGGGGATGCTTTTTTCTGCTCGGCCCCGTTCTCGCAGTGTTAGGTGGGCTGCCGGGAAGATCCAGATGAAATCCAATGGAAAACCGGGCCTCGGCTTTACCTTGCCCTCGCAGCTTTGCGCATTGAGGTCTAAGACGGCTACGACACTGATGCCGCGGCACCGTCCAAGCGCCCAAACATGCCCAAACCCTGCACTGCTTCCCTGAATCTTTGAAACAAAAACTTTCGGAAACCCCCGCCAGAGCTCTTGAAAGTGGCAGCTTCTGCTCTGGCGCCAACCGGAAGATGCCGTGCCTCATGGTAGAAGTACTGTACTTCTGCTGGTTTGGTGGTAGTATGAGCTAGTAGTACTACTAGTACGAGCCATACTGTACTCGCAGACTCGCAGACTCGCAGCAGCGGCACCAGCAGCAGCAGCAGTGCTGGGCCTCGCCCTGGTTTTGCAAGCGCCAGGCACCATCATCTGATTTAAAGACGAGGACACGACTTCTTCAGCATGAGGAGGTTGATGGTTATGAGGGTTTTGGTTTAAAGTTCTTGGCTGCTTGCTGCCCCAAAGTTCAGGAATGAGAGCCACATGCGGAGGCCGAATGTATGTGTTCTGTTCCAACCCGTCCTGAAAAGCCCACCATGACATTTCCGAAATACGCTAGACCGCTAGAGGCTCTAGGACGGTGCATTGCACAACTGCAGCTCCAGGCTAGACCCACCTTTACAGGAGCTGCCACATTAGCGTGATCACTATCCTTATTGTCACTATGACGACGATTGAATTGCAGTTCTTTGTGCGGACAAAAGTGCTCTACGAAAGGGCGGAAGGGAAGGACCACGGCAATGAGGAGCCTGAGTAGACTTCGGATGCAGGGCTGACGAAGGGCTCTGGGTGGTGACAGCTCTGTTGCAGAGTTTGAGGACAGTGGTCAGCGTCAGTGCAAGGCTCTTGCGACTTCGAGCTCCACAGCTTCGGCTTGGCTAGTTTTTGTCCAATAGATATACACTACCGAAGATCTGATCAGCATATATCGCAGAAAGGAGGCTTTCCTCAGCCACCCGGATGTTCCAAAATCCTAATGGGGAACCTGGATTTGGGACTACTGCGCCAGAAACCATGCCTGTATGTTGCGAGCAACAGCAGCACGAGAACGCAAGCGATCGACATTACCACCAACATCGGCGTCGTCACCGTCACCATCACCATCGTAATCACCAGCAGGAGCATGGGCATCATCCTGGCATTACTTGCCGTAAACACTCCGCACTGCCATCAACTACAGTAGTATCGGCAAGTCAACGACCAAATCCAATACGAAAGCATGAACCCGGACGGCGGCTTGCCACGCCCCAAGACCATGAGCGACAAACGAACCAACTGTCCAGCCTTCCACGAGGTGTGAGCCTGCGCCGCAGCTCCTGCAGAGTACTGTACCGGGCTGCATCAACAGCTGCTGCTGTGTTGCTCTTCGTAACTGTCACCAGTCCTAGTTGTAGCATGATGCCGGCAGCTGCGGAGTCTGTGGCTGTTGCTCTTTACGTGAATGCGAGGTCTACCTCTGCATCGAAACAGCTGCCCCGTGCTGCGGCTGACACTACCTCCACCGCACCGCCTCGTCCTCCTCCTCCTCATCATCATTCCTCCGCTGCCCTACTACCATGGTGGGAAACCTCAGCGGATAACCGTTCTGCTACAGGCGTAGACTGTGAGGGCACATCAGTTTTGAAAGGGGTCATGTGGAAAACCACAATCTGAACCCCTACTCTCCGCACTCTAGGCAACAGTCAATACTGAGCCCAAACTCCTGTGGGAAGCCCGCAGCAACCATAACCCGTGATCATTATGACTATGATGTAAACAACAAGTATAATGCTCGTAACAATAGTAGTAGGAATAGTAGTAATAATAAGAAGAAGAATAGTAGTAACAACAAATAGTAACAACAACAATAATAGCAACAATAGCAATACTACTACAGGATCTCCAAGAAGCGGCCTGCAGCAAGGACCGTGGTCGGATGCAGCGGTCCAAGACATTCCTAAAGGGCAAGAGACTGCTGCACTAGGAAGCTTTGGGATGCAGGCCTTCGAAAGCTCAAAAGCGGCGAAACCCGAAATTAAGTTGCTCCAATCCCAGGCATCCCAGGCACATGAGGGCAATGCAGTCAAAAGTGCCACTCGGTCCGAGTGGGATCCCCACCTCCGCTGCCATGGCCTCAAGGCGGGGGCTTTTTGGCTTTTGGTTTAAAGTTCAGGGCCAAAGGTCACGACGGCATGGCGTTTTTTGTAAACATGCTTTCGCGTCGTAGAGGCCAAGGGGGGTTCAAGCCTCGCCTCGAGACCCGAGAGGTCGCTTCCCTCGAGAACTGGGAGGCCACGGCGGCGCAGCTGGGCCACCATAGGACGACCTCGGAGCTCAGACCCTTTCTGGGAGCTAAAACCGGACTACAAGCAAACGGGGTTCCCCTCTAACTCCAAGCCGTGACCCACGAGAATGCGAGCAAGCCGCTCACCTCCGTCGTCAACACGTGATCGAACAGCTGCGCGAGCTCCATCGTACATGACCCGGTCCTTTGTGCGGCTTGGCGGCTTGGGACTGCTGAATCCTGAACCTCCAAGTTCAAAGTAACTCACTTTGGCCCATGCCACTTTGACTTAAGTCTTGGGACAGCCACAAGATTCCTCCAGGCTTGGCTGAGGGAAGACGGAGCCTCTGGAGTGTTGAAACAAGCGAAAGTTGAAAGTGTCGCCATAGGTGTTCATGACCATGGCAGTAATACACTACAGACAAGGAAGCCAGACGCACTACCCTGTGACCCTAAGCTCCCCTTCTCTGGGACCCCAAACCCATAAGCCCTGACCTTTTCACCATAAACCCAAACTCTGTACACCTTAAACACCGCACTCCGTTCGGCCAAGTATCCCGGCTCCTACATCGAGCAGCAAGCCACCAGGGCGCTCTGCGAAGAGCCGGAGCGCTTGGGTAGCACTGAGCACCTGGGTGGTTTAGGAGTCTGCGTGCTGGGTGGTAACCTCAACTTGCAGTCCTTTCTCGTTTGCTTTAATGCCGCAGCCCGTGATTCGCGAAATGCAGAAATGCAAGCATGTGCTGATAGTGTCTCCTTGGTGCGCCTTCTGTCTGCAAGCACAGAAGAGAGCGGCTGCTGGAGGCCAAAAAGGCATCAGTTTACCTGCCGCCGATCTTCTTGGCAAAGCGCAGTAAGCTGGCTCGTCCTGCTTAGCCCTTACATCGCCGCAGGCACACCCAGAATTCGGGAACGGCTGCAAGTCTGTGCGCATCATTCGCAGATTCTGGGAGTCGACCATGCGCATCATTGGCTTCTTTTAAAGTGCTGTGGTGTTGCTTGTAAACCGGTGATAGGCAGCAGATAGCAATCGACGAGATTTTGATTGTAGTTTTGTAGTACAAGAACGACGTCTAGCATTACAAGTACCAATCAATTTGGAGACAATCCTGTAGCCTTCAGGCCTGCGTTGTACACCTGGATCCTGCACCGGGGCACAAACATCTCACCGCGGCCCAGGAGTGCGTTGACATCCGTCTTGGAGAGGCACCAGCACAACACCCGTGCGAGTGCACCCTGCCGGACTCTCAACATGGGCTCGGATTCATTGGTTCAGGGTGTTGAAGAGTTGGGTGGGGGTTGGCAGGCTTCGGTTGTGCACAGGTTACAGGATTGAATGGCTTGAGGCTCCGGTGCAGCACAGCAGGTCAACCAAAGGAGGCCGCAAGACCAGATCGAGGAAGAGAGCGACCCACTAATCGGACAACGGCTTTTTTTTGGGGGAGCTGCGCTTCGCTTCAAAATTACCCAGTCCTTGGCTTCGTTTTCGACGCCCAATCGCCCGCTCATCCCAGCTACAGTATCACAGTTGGGAGCATCTTCTCAAGGCACGAGCCGGGTACGAACGTTACACGCTTTGACGCCCGAACTGACATCCCCCATCTCAATGCACAACCTGAGCCTATAATATACGGGCCTTCATGATTGAAACATGGTTTTGGGGATTTGGGAGTCTAGTGTACGACAGTTGTATTCAGACGCCTCAAGACCGCCGATCCCTCCTTTGTCCCTCCTTCAGCAACGTAGTGGCGACGGACCTCTCCAGGCAGGAGGCCAAGAAGTCCTCCGTTGCAGCATCGGCCTCCTGCTGGAAGCTCCAAGGCTTCTGGGGAGGTCGGCCGAGGGAAACATGGGGGTTTGGATCCCCAAACCTACAAGCCACCACAGGTTACTCACAAGTTACAAGCGCTCCAGCTGCACCCAGCGCTCTGCGAGGGCCGGTGCCAGCAAGCCAGCGCTATAGGGCAGCGTGTGCCTTCGAAGTCGCCGCTGAGCTAGAGAAGCCTATAGACTAAGCAACCGCAAGGCATTGCATGTCGGTCGAACAGAATACGAAATGGCACATTGTGGAGCAAGTTACAGTGATGTGATGTAACATGATGCAATGCAATATTGTGCAATCAAGTACAGCACGCACACTGGACCATGGCATGTAGCGTCAAAGCAGGCAATGGCAGTTTGCCTCACACATATAATCACGTTAACATATTGTTATATCATAATACCATAATATGTTTCTATTGCAGTACTGCAGCAAATATCACATTACTATAACAATTCTATCATTACCTTATTGTATGATATGGTATTGTATTCTGTTATCACGAAAGCAGGCGGAGGCTCCAAAACCCATCTTGCACTCAGAGGTCGATAACCCAAGGCACCGGGAATACCGGCGTCCACTGCGGGCACAGAGCACGAAGACCTGTCGCCGCAAATGTATAGCATAATATGGTAGAACATAGTACAGTACAGTTTTGTAAAGTCTAGCATAGTGACATAGTATAGCATAGTATAGTATAACATAGTCTAGCGAGTTTGAGATGCTGTCCCTGAACCCCATGCCAAGCCTCCAAACCCCTGTAAGGTTGGGGCTTTCTTCGAACCCTTCTAAACGCTGAGACAGAGGTTGTGCGAAGGGTGCCGGCCCGGGGCCGTCGCTGCGAAGCTCCAAACCTCTGAGTCCGAAAGCTCCAAAGACTCCTAGGCACTCCCAAAGCCGCAGCTTTGAGTCAGGCACGCCGGGCAAGCCCAACACCAGCCAAAAGATCGAAATCCCTCAAACTGTTATGAGACATTTTGACGCACAGTTGCAAAGAAAGAGAGCGCGAAATGAGAGAGAGGGAGAGCGAGAGAGGACAGGACGAACCTCGCCGGCCAGGAGAGGCTCGAAGCGCCGCTGGCCGAAGTTCCAGGCCATGCAAAGCCAACAGCTTCGGGCTTAAGGGATTACATCAGGGTTTGGTTGAGGCCAGCAAATACTTCAGGTGGTTGAGAAGTGAGGGCCGAATGTTTCGGATGAAGCGTTGAAGACTTGCGGTCCGGATTGGCAGGGTGCTGAAAGCTCTCGCGAGTTGGAGCGTCGGCCCCCACACAGGTATTGACCCCTGGACAGCTACGTTCTGATTCCTATATTCAACCATGCAGATCTACCGCAGCCGCACGTCTGAAACGAAAACCCAGCGCTCTTCGGAATCAACACTTACTCGAGAGTGGGGGTGCAGATTAACAGAACTCCAATGTCAACCGTTAATTACTATACCCCGACATTGCGAGATGGCGACCTCTCGCGTAGTGTGCTTGCATGCCAAGCATGTGCTGAAGAGTGGTAACGGCCTCAAATCAAAACACTTTTTTCAGGTAACAAACGCTCCGTAATGGATAAACAAGCTGAGATTGATCTTCTCATATAAGCACTCTGACGGATAACCGCAGTGAAAATGGCAGCAAGCAGAGGAGAAGCCGCTGCACCAGTGGCAGCGGTAGAGGCAATCATGATGGAGCAGCAGCAACAGCCGAAGCAACTGCACTGTCCTTTGGCCAGCTTTTGGGCTGTATGTCATGATGATGTGGGCCTCGGTATCGATGCACAGCATCGGGCAGCGCCTGCCTGGGTGGCCGTCGTGTCTGGATGGCGCTACTATCACGAAAATGGGAGGCCCCACTTCAAAAAGAATACAAACACTTAAGATGAAAAACGATGCCGTCCGTAGGCGGACTGCCACCCATAACCAAGCCTCGGAACCCAAATCCTGGGGAATGCTGCCGATTGACTGCTAGATCCTGCACCCGCAAATCCAGCGCAAAGCCTTGATCCAGTGCAGCAGCAGCAGCAACAACAACAACAACAACATTACTGGTTTAGTGGTGGTAGTAGTGCGCGCAGCAGCAGTAGCGACAGCAGTAGCAGCAGCAGCAGCAGCATCTGGAGCTGTGGCAGTGGCAGTGGTGGCCATGGCAGCGGCAGCGCCTCTGGCAGCGGCAGCGGAAGCCGCACGCGAAGCAGCGGGAGCAGTAGCAGCAGCAGTAGCAGGAGTAGAAGTGGGAGTAGGAGTGGCAGTAGGAGTGGGAGTGGGAGTGGGAGCAGGAGCAGTAGGAGTAGTAGGAGTAGTGGGAGTAGTAGGAGTAGTAGGAGTAGTAGGAGTAGTAGGAGTAGGAGTAGTAGGAGTAGTAGGAGTAGTAGGAGTAGTAGTAGTACTAGTAGTAGTAGTAGTAGTAGAAGAAGAAGTAGGAGTAGTAGGAGTAGTAGTAGTAGTAGTAGGAGGAGGAGGAGGAGTAGTAGTAGTAGTAGTGGGAGGAGGAGGAGGAGGAGTAGTAGTAGTAGTAGTAGAAGTAGTAGTAGTAGTAGTAGTAGTAGGAGGAGGAGGAGGAGTAGGAGTAGGAGGAGTAGTAGTAGTAGTAGTAGTAGTAGTAGTAGTAGTACATTCACGAGTGGTGGTAGTGGCAGCAAGAGTAATGGTATAGAGTGGTGCCTTTCCGGCCTCAAGCCCATC